AAGGTAGTTTTCTAGGTTCCAGAGACTTTTTCCAAGAACTTTCTGCGAGGTGGAAAACTATGAAAGCAGATGTGAAAAGGCCATTAATGATTTTTTCATTCAAAGGCAGGATTGTATTCTAGTGAATGCTTGGGTTTGGGGATATTCTCTAATGGAACGTTTTGCGTTAAAAACAAAACGCTCAGGCATTGTGATTTCCTTTTAAATCGGTCGTATGCTAGAACACTTCTGTAAATATATACGAAAATGAGGCAGGATCCTTCCTCAGAGACCATATAGGAACCTCATCAGAAAAGCTATCCAAACGACTACACTTCAATAACTGGAATCGATTATTCATCGTTCTTGTTCGTAGTTCTTTGTATACCTCAACAGCACATACCTCGGCGTGCGTGTCTGTATAAAAACAGGAGCGGGACTCAAAAGGACGGAAAAACACTCTTTCTTCATCAAATCATCCGCTAAACATTCGATTGTTCATACTTTTTCCTACGAGGTCATTCTCAACTGAAACAACCACCAGCACGTGGTGCAGCCATTTATATAGTAGGGCGTCAGACTCGAACAGACTACAAAAAACTCTTTTCTGATCAAATAATACTCTTCAAAAATCCATTGTTCATACTTGTTACTCATACCTAACGCTATATGCAAATGACCACTAACCCGTGCTGCAGCTTCTTATATAGTAGCGGTGAGACTCAAAAACGCTAAAAAAGACTCTTTTTTGATCAAATACTACTTCTCAATATCCATTCTTCATACTGGTCACTAATACGTAACTCTCAATTGAAATCACCGCGAGCACCTGTTGCAGCCCCTTATATAGTAGGCGTGAGACTCAAAAGGACTCTCTTTCCATCAAATCATCCGCTAAACAATCGATTGTTCATACTTGTTACTCATACCTGAATCTCAATTGAAATGACCACGAGCACGCGGTGCAGCCCTTTATATAGTTGGGGGTGAGACTAAAAAAGACTCTTTTTTGATCAAATAATACTCCTCAAGAAAATCTATTGTTCATACTTGTTACTCATACCTGACTCTCAGTTGAAATGACCACGAGCACATGTTTCAGCCCTTTATATAGTAGGGGGGTGAGACTGAAAAAGACTAAAAAAGACTCTTTTTTGATCAAATAATAGCCCTGTTACTTACTTTCTCATTAATTAAAGCCGGCTTTGAAGGAATATAGTCATACATATATTTACGGAGTGAAACATTTTCGATTAAACGTGGGATTTTTTTTGAAACAAAGTCAAGATTTTAATCGATGAAGTTGATTGCCTTTGACTTCTCACAAAGAGAATCCAGGCAATCAATGAAGTTCTTGGTTTCGCTTCAGAACAAATCACTGTTTTAATCGAAAGTTTTGCACTGCGTGCGTATATATATATATATGTGTATGTATGTTTCTGGGCAATTTGATGATATTTGTTACAGCCGTTTCTGTGAAAAATTCGTTAGTGGTTAGGTTCGACTTCCCAGATCGATGATTCCAGTCCACGGATCCCACCGGAACCTGCAGGAACCAGCCCATTTTCCGGCTAATTCCCGCCGGTTCCCGTGCAATTCCTGCCGGAACCGACCGGAAAAATACTGGAAAGGGGGGCAGTATTCCGGCCGGAAAGTCATCGTACCAGGAACCGCTCAATTACAAAACTTTTCCATTCACCGGAAAACGTTGGATAATCCATCGTATCCATCACGGAACACACCGGAAACACACCATAGCCATCACGGAACACACCGGACACACCGTATCCACCACGGAACACACCGGACACACCGTATCCATCACGGGATACACCGGAGACATACCGTATCCATCACGGAACACACCGGGCACGCCATATCCATTACGGAATACACCGGAAACATACTATATCCATCACGGAATACACCGGAACCATACCGTATCCATCACGGAACACAACGTATCCAACACGGAACACACCGTATCCATCACGGAATACACCGGAAACATACCGTATCCACCATGTAAGGGAGACCATGCCTCAAAAGGAGTCATCCAGACAAAGGAAAACCGTACTCCGAGGACATCGAACTTTATTTTTTTTCAGAATGAACCCTAGCACATGGTGCACCCGTATTTATAGGGGACACCATGTCTCAAAAGGAGTCATCGAGCGGTAGGGAAATCCTCCTCCGAGGACTTCGAACTTTCCTTTCTATTTCCTAATGAACACTAGCACCTCGTCCGCCCGTATTTATAGCGGATATCATGATCCAAAGAGAGTCATACAGAGGTAGGAAAATCGTCCTCCGACGACTTCGGACTTTGTTTTTTTCAGAGTCAACCCGAACACCTAGTGCACGCTTATTTATACTGGACCCAAGTCAATCACGCTCGATCGGATCCTGTCGGTTCTAAATAATTCCGACTGAAACCTATCTCAATTTTGTCGGAATCCTAACTAACGGATTCCGACGTCGGATCTGACATCGGATTTGCATAAAATCCGATCGAATCCTGTCTGTTTTTGTCGGATTTTACCGGATTCCGGTCCGGATATCGTCGGAATCCGTTAGTTAGGATTGATTGACCTGGGGGAGACCATGTTTGAAACAGAGTCCTCGAGAGGTAGGAAAATCGTCCTTCGAGGACTTCGAACTTTGTTCTTTTCCAGAGTGAAACCTAACACCTGGTGCACCCTTATTTTTAGTGGGGACGATGTCTGAAACACAGTCCTCGAGAGATAGGAAAATCGTCCTTCGAGGACTTCGAACTTTGTTTTTTTTCAGAGTGAACCCTAACACCTAGTGCACGCTTATTTATAGTGGGGACGATGTCTCAAACAAAGTCTTCGAGAGGTAGGAAAATCGTCCTCCGAGGACTTCGAACTTTGTTTTTTTTTCAGAGTGAACCCTAACACCCGGTGCACGCTTATTTATAGTGGGAACGATGTCTCCAACAGAGTCCTCGAGAGGTAGGAAAATCGTCCTCCTAGGACTTCGAACTTTGTTTTTTTTTCAGAGTGAACCCTAGCCCCTGGTGCAGCCCTATTTATAGTGGAGACGATGTCTGAAACAGAGTCCTCGAGAGGTAGGAAAATCGTCCTCCTAGGACTTCGAACTTTGTTTTGTTTGAACTTACCATAACTGGTTTCTCCGTGGAAAGTTTTCTACGGCGTGGTGCGCCTCTATTTATAGTGTGACGATGTCTCAAAAAGTGTTATGTAGAGATAGGAAAAGCGTCCTCGTGAGACGTCGAACTTTGTTGTTTTGAACTCACCGCTAACGGGTTTCTCTCTGGAATGAAGTCTAGCACGTGGTACAGTCCTATTTATGGGAGTGTCCATGTCTCAGAATGACCGACTGTGATCTATGGAAATTGTCTCGTGAGAGTTCGCACTTGGTTTGTTTTTCATCTTATGTCTGAGTCGGTCTTGACAAGAATGAGCTCCAGGACCTCGTGCAGTGCTACTGAAATGAGAGATTATGCCTGAGAAAGGGTTATTGAGGCGTATTTTAAGCGTCTTTTTGGGACCTCGAAATTTTTTTCGTTTTCGCTTAACTGTAGCTCGTCAGCGACCGGGATGAACTCTAGGATGTCGTGTAAGGCTGCTCGTAGTCGAGGCCGCTTGTCAACAACAAAGGCAATTGGAGTTGATGGTAGATTTCCAAGTGCGCTGAGTTTTATGTGATTACCGGCGAGAAGGGAAGCATCCTACATGACTTGTTCCTTATTCAAAAACTGACTGGAGATGTTTAACTTTTCAGCCGATAACTGGCATATCGATACGCGATATAATTTATAATGATCGAAACCTTAGTGCCTCATACTGTGCTATGGCACATATTTTGATGGCGCAAATACCCTGGTGTTCTTTTTGTGTTAGATCCTTTCTAGCATCGGTAGTCTTATCTCTTTGTTGTTTGATATTCTTCAGGACCTATGGGCACGCTATATGACAGCCCTTGAGGATCCATGGGTGCCTTCATATAATAGTCCTTAAGAGCCTATGGGTACCTGTGTAGGGTAGGACATCAAGACGTCTGGGAGCCTTCATATAATAGCCCTTGAGGACCTATGGGTATTTCGATAGGATAGCCCATAGGGATCTTTGGGAACCTCCGTATAATAGTTCTAGAGCACCTGTAGGCGCCTGCAGATAATAGCCCTTGTGGACCTATGTGTACTTCCAACTAATAGCCCTTGAGAATCTATGGGTACTTCTATAGAATAGCCCTTGAGGACCTGTGGATATTTCCATATAATAGCCCTTGAGGCCCTATGGGTACTTCTATAGAATAGCCCTTGAGGACTTATGGGTACCTGCATAGGATAGCTCATGAATACTTATGGGTACGTCCATAGGATAACCCATGAGTAGGATGTGGGGGTGGGTGTGAGTCTTGCTGAAAAGTTGAATCCATTCAATTGGAACTAGCGGGATCCGAGTCCTATCTTGTCGTATCCTGTGATCGGATCCGAACTCCATAGCGAAAATGCAAACGGCTGGATCTGGGCTTCGTAACCATACCGGAAACGATAGTTTATGGCTCATATCCTGTCGCCGTCATAAGTCGCTGGAACCAGGCGCGGCAACCACACCGGAAACGACAGTTTATGGCTCGTATCCTTGTCGCCGTCATAAGTCGCTGGAACCAGGCGCGGGAACCATACCGGAAATGACGGTTTATGGCTCGTATCCTGTCGCCGTCATAAGTCGCTGGAACCAGGCGCGGGAACCATACCGGAAACAGGGATCTGTATCCGGCCATCTTTTTCGGACTCCGGAACTGACGGGAATTAAGTAGGAAACGAAAGCCGGAACCGATTTGGGAATACTGCCACCCTGAAATAGCCGGAATTTCACCGGATCAGGCGGTTTCCCGCCGTACATCTTGGACCTGGGTTCAACAGTTGCACTAATATTATTTCACTATGAGTACCAAACGAGAGAGTACGTCGCTGTTTTTCCTGAATATGCTGTTGACTGGTACCGTAAAAAGTAGAGTTTGTTTATATAATGGCTGTTAGTTTGTAAATCAGTCAGTTTTGAAGGAACATCTTTGACAGAATATTATTATGAATAAAATTGCAGAAATGTTCAGGAGCATGTGGCATTGAAAATGATGAAAAACAATTTGTGTTATGATTAGAAGTGTATAGTTACTTCAGCACTTATAGAAATACCCCTGGGTTGATCTCACATGACGAATACTATGCATTGGATGTTTCATTGATGAAAAGAAAGTTTACGGCATCTATAACTGTTAAGAGACAATCCTTTTTCGTTGTATATTTATATTTTAAAATTCATAAAAATTTTTACGTTTATTGATTAATGCCAGTCACGATTACACTAAATTGTTTTAGCGGTCACTTATACAATGAAGGTTCAATCAGGTTTCACAATGATGGTCAAGAAGGGAGGACTTGTTTTGGTTTTTTTGAGGAAGATCGATGCGGTAAATGATTTGTGCACTTATGCCACCACTTTACTAGTTTAAAACTCATCAAATGGTCGAACTTCAGTCTTATAATATTGTGGAGTTCTTTATATTTTGAAATCACAGCTATTGTGATTGAAAACTATTTCCGATGGTATTACATGTTTTTGCTTTTGTTCTAGATTATTTGTTTTTACAGTTCATCTTTTGCCATGCGTATGAGAAAGACATATCGTAAAAAGACAATCGTTGATAAAGAAAAGAGAATTTAACTGATAAAAATAGTAAGTTTTACGCCTAAATGTATCATGAAGGTGTGGCCCTTAATTTTAACTGATTACGAACAAATTTTACCGATTATGATGGAAAATTCAAAGCATTCAGAAACTGAAAATAATTCTTATATTGATTTGGGAAAATCAAAAGAAGGACAATCTGCACAAAAGGGATTTGATATGTTTTATCATCATCTGACGTAAATGAAGATATTCTTACTTCGTTTCTTCGTGATGATACACATGTAGCAGAAGGTAGTGAAGATGTTAGTTCGTTTTTTCGTGATGATACAAATGCAACAGAAGGTGATGAAGATATTAGTTCTTTTCTTCTGAAGGATATAAATTTACCAGGAAATAATCAAATAAGTATGTTTGTAATTATGTCCTTAAAAAATTATGTTTTATTTATAAATTCAGTTTTTGCTAGCCAGCAAGGTCAACAACGATCATTTGAACATCATACTGATATAATGGAAAATGAAAAGCGTTCGAATTTGTCAAATGATGTATCTTCTGAAGATATGCCGAGTTTAAAAAAAAATTGCTGCACTTGAAGCTAAACTTGAGAAGTTAAAGGCTGAATAGATAAGTATGTAATATTTATTTTTAAATTTTTTCATACTCTTTTACAAAATATGTTATACGAACATAGATAAATATTATCAAAATTTAGGTTTGATCTGATAAGTTTTTCTACGATTCATCACATAAAAAATGTAATACTCTTTATTCTTAATTATTTGTATATTTTTCTATTTCGTTTTGAGAATTAGGCTGTAATTCCTGGAAAAAACTGGAATTTTTTCATCATTATAAGATAATTGTTATATTAATAGAGCAGAACAGTTCTTTCCTTTAAAAAAAAATATTATATTATTTATAAGAAATTTTGCCATGTCGACTTAATCATTTTTTCTGTTTAGCTCGTCCAAAAGATCCAAAGGTTATCCAACATTTAACTCAAGCAACAAATACGTCACTTAATGATAAAGGAAATACAATTTTTCATCAAGATACATCACTGGTGGACATTTTGAATATACTCAATATGAATGAAGATCAACTTAAATTATGTAATAAAAAATCATCAACAGCTACTGCACGTTTAGTAATAAAATTTTTGTTTTCACATCCTGATTCTAACTTCAGTTATGTGGAAGCCGATAAAATCGTTGTTGATACAATTATTAGTAAGTTCAGCCTTGCTTGTTTTTGCAATCAAGTAATATTCTTTTTTCTACATAGAATACACAAAGTTATCAAATCCTAATGATAATAAATCTAATGCAGACGTTCGACGAGCAATTAGTAATTATTTTTCGTGTTTAAATTATCAAAGAAAAATAAGAAGAAATCATTAACTGTTATCAAATTGTTACAAAATCAAACAAGAATAGTATATTAACACCTAGTAACGTTAAAATAAAAAAATTCTTTTTTTTCTTAACTATTTGTCATATACAAATATTTTTCTTGGTTTACTTGATGTCATTAGATTTCTTTTACTTTCATTTTCAAATTTACTCTTGTGGAAAACGTTTTTGTTTTTTTTTGTATATGAATATCATTGTGAAAAATTTATCTGGGTTATCACCAAATAATCGATATTGCATTAATTATGATGAAATGATTATAACTAACTCAACATCGATTATTTGATTAATATTGAAAAACATCTTTTTGTATGGATAAAAATGATATGATATATTTAAATTGATGTAATATTAAGACAAAGATACTCATAAAGGGTCTTTTACTCTTTTGTCATTTATATTCAAGATGCTTTAATTTATTATTTCGTTTTTTTTTATTTGCTGCCAACATTGTTTTATTTCTTTCATTTACATAGCTTTATGTTAGATTTTCTTTTGTTAATACGGTGAAAACATTTTAATATGAAGAGGATAATAATCGATACCGTTTTTATCATTTTATTGAGACGTTTCGTTATGAACTCATAACATCATCAGTCAAAAAAGAAATGAAATGAACTTACAAGACAAGAGAGAGAATAAATAGATAGAGGTGGGTGTGGGTGTGGGTGTCCGTGTAGATGAGAAGAATGTCCACACCCACACCCTCCCACACCCACACCACATCCACACACCCACACCCACACCCACACCCACCCACACCCACACCCTTTTTAAACAAAACAAAGATCATTATCAAGAGCATCAATTCGTCTCGTTCTCTTACTTATTGAGCGATACCGCTTGAATCGTTTTTCCTGATTTGGAAGGTGCTCCATTGCTCGATGCTCGATTCATAGTGCCCATTGGATGAACTCGTTGCATGACTCTATTTCTTAAAATGATCATTTTCATAATGAATGTTTTAGGAGCACTCGATAACGCTTCTGCTATATGTGCAGCACCGTTGTCTGTGATATTATTTCTACTAACACGAAATAGGACGAGCAGAGGCCGAACAAGTAGTGCCTGGGTGAGATAATACAAACAATGATCTTCTAGACCATTGTTGAAAAGATAAACTGTGTCTAATTGAGTGTTCTCACGTATAATCCCGGGAAGGAATTTAGCAGATTCGGACGTTATTGGTTCGTTTTTGAAGCATATTATTGTACTCTGTCTGTCAGTCGCGTGTAGTTTGCAATTGTTCATTCTGTCGTAATCGATCGAATTTGCCGGATTTGAATCACCGACAACCAATTTCTCCATCAATAAAATCATTTCTGGTTTTGAATCTATCACAGTTTCTTTGTCGAAGTTGACACTACCATCTAGGTCATTGGTAGTCGTCTGAGCATCCGAAGTTGATAATTTTGAGACCGTCTTTGAACACGATGAGCAAGTCTTCATGGGCTGACAACCATTCGTTTCATCGGTGAGAAATTCAAAGATCGAGGTGATACCGGCTTCAATCTTCAAGAAGGGAAAAGGCGGCTCGATTTCTTTCACATGAAGAATCCATATATTAGGTGCTGGATTGAGACGAGAGACGACCTGAAGTTAACGAGCAGCCATTAAAAGGACTTCATTTTCTGCAGAATAATGCGAATGCTGGTGAATATCTTTGCCAGAGAAACATTCAATGATGAATATTGTACCAGTGCCTGTTTCCGCCTAGGAATAATTCTGATTGAAGAACTCTTATCGATTTTGTGCATGAAGAGAAACCCCACCAGACAAACTTCTTCATAAATCGAGAAAGTGATTTAATTTGATCAACTATCCGACTACCTTATTGTGTGCAATGATAAATGGTATGCTTTTTTCGATTAACAATTCGATCGTTTGTGGTTCCAAACCGTGCGTGATATCAAATTGCGACACATTTTTGTCCGTTCATAGATAGTTTTCAAAGGAACATTGGTGGCACCGATCTGTTGAGTGATGCCGCGTGCTTCACCATTAGGGGTGTGACAGATCCACAGCAGTTTCGATTTTTGAACCGGGAACTAGCATGTCAATTTCTCGTTTATGAGCTATAACTACTAACCATTTTCGGTTCCTAGAGTCTGAATTTGGTCTACCGGTTTAGCTCCCATTGACTAAACCATTGGTCAGTAGGAAAAAACGAATGAATTGTTCAAAAGAACTGCGATCAGTTCCAGTTCCAAGAACTGGATCTGTCACACCCCTATTCGCCATCTTGAACGCGTGTTCGACGAAGATTGTCTAGAAGTTTTGTTTTGCCCGTATCAATGTGACCCAGGACACCGATGACTGGTGCTCGAAGTACGTCTAGTGAACGACGACTCTCATAGACATCATGTCGACGTTCAAGACGACGATGAACACGTTCCATAGATGAGAATGTCGCATCGTTTTCATCCTGTTCATTCGACGAACTTTTTTCATCACTTTCATCTGACGAAGTGTCTTCGTCCGGATCTGATTCTGAGCTTTCATCATGCAAAGGCAAGTTCACGTGAACAGCTCAGTACTAGCACAACTCAAAAGTCAATCTTTTGTAATTGCAAGCACTTATTCAACAACAATGTATATGCTGGTCCTTCATCTTGATCGTCCTCGTCTCTCTCACTGCTCTCTTCATCCGATTCACTGCCATCAGCAGACAATTTATCTGAATGAGATGGTTGTGATGGAGAAATTACGGTACAATCTGTATTCTCAGATTCACTTCCACTATCACGGTCATCGAAAGTTTCCTGCAGAGCATATCGATCCATGGCTACTCGATCATCAGGCTCAGCAAAATTCATTTTCAATCGTCTGTATAAATTCGGGATCATTGTTTGCAAAGGATTTTTTGCTCGATCACTCGACGAAAAATACAGACGAGAGAGAAGAACATTCGATTTTTCAACTCCTTGCATATCATATGCGAATAAATTTTCATTTTCATTCTGTGCGGCCAAATGAGTACCAAGCAGATGCATATAGGGCGTGCAGCTCGTTCTCAATCCTGACTGACGAAAATCTCGAACGAAAGATTTTGCAACATCAGCCAGAACATTTTTTCTTTGAGACTTTTCTGTTTTGACGAGATCAAGTGTGTGCTTAAATTTGTCAACAAGATTTTTTGCATTCTTCGAAGTTTTCTCATCTTGAATAATCTTTTCATATGGAAAAGAGTCAACAAAAAACACTTCTTGAAGATGGCCAGAAAAACGGCCACAAGATACTATCGTTTTCACATTGTTTTCCGTTTCTATTTTGAAAAAAAACCGTTTTCCGATGGTGTTAATTGCTTGCTTGTTGAGAATCTCAACTTTTTCCTCTAGCTTTTTTGTGTGTATTGGTTCGTATTCGTCCGTTTTCGATGCCTCGGCTAAAATATCCTTTAACAGAATATCGAAAATTCTCAATCTCATATGAAGACTATTGATGACGTAGTCACTGCATAAAGTCGCTTTTTCTTCCTTGTCTCAATCTCCTGTTATTCGAACACAAAAATTCTTTTTCACATTTGGAGATCGAAACCTTCTTTGATCTTGATACTTTTCGAAGTCTTTCTTTGTCCGTTTATGTAGAGTCATACAAGATTATTGAGAGATGACCGGCAGGATGAAGAGAGCAATTTACTGCACTAATCTGAATCCTGAAATGTATCCTTATTGGATTTTTCACATTCGAAGCTAGTTCGTTTCGAGAGTATCTCTAGTATGGTAAAAAGAAAATGTTTGTATCAAAGTTGAGCAAACTGTGTTCTATATCTATTTAATCAATTTTCAAACAATCTTCATGTCAAATTGGAGAGGAGAGAAGAGAGAGCAAAGAAAAGTTTGCGTTCTTTTATCGAAATAGGAAAAATTACGTTCATTATTTTGAATTACATAATGAACTATTCCGTGTTTTCTTGGTATTATTGTCGAACAGCTCGACCATTACATTCCCAACCTAATGGTGATTTTGCTGTTAATGTGGAACTGTCTTCACTCAACTTCAATTCACCGATAATGGGTAATGTAGTTGAGTAGGTATTTGGTTTTAAAGTAGGCAGAAACAATGTCCGAAGTCCTTTACATTGACCTTTCAATTTGCCAGATATCGTCATGAACAATTTGGCCCTCTCCGTCACTTGTACTTCTCCAGTGAGACAACAACAAACGTTTTGATTACACACAGGCATAACGAAGAATGAACCAATCCAATTCGGCTTTGCACCTAGAACAGATAGACTGAGCAAAGATACAGATCTTAGGCGAATCGACTTACCATAGCTCAAGTCCATGGCTACGCCCAAAATAATCAAGCAAACCAGCGAATAAAACATTTTTATTTTTTACTTTTTGCAAAGGGTTTTGTCTGTGAGTAGGTTTCGACTATATATATTTTCTTTGGAAGAAACTACGTCAAATAATTTCAATCCTCTTAGTGATAAACAAAAAGGATCAAATTTGTTTCTCTCGATCAATATGTTTCAAAAAGCAACTTCGATGGCAAATTGAAGATATCAGATTGGTTTGTGATAAATTGAATACGTGATAGAATTGCATCCCCATATATCCCTGTGTCAATATTTCACTAGGGGATTACCTTAACTGATTCCACACGTTCGGTGTGTGTGAGAATGATAGTCTTTGCTTCACCCTCAAATAGGACCGGGTGATCCGATAATTTTTTGACTGCCTGCATATAATGATAGCAACAAGCAAGATAATGGCTCGAAACTATCAAACAAAACCGACAGTGAAACGTCTAATGAATTGTTTTTTTTTCAGTTTTATTCACAAGAATTTTTGTCCCAACATCCTTCAGGATTTTCTTACGTTTGACTGTTCAAATTCCGCGTCACAGAGCAAGATCTAAATGAAGTGACATTTTGGATAGGAAAGTTTCCAAATACGATGTTTTGCCGAAAAAAAAATCATATTCGAAAATTTCGACAAATCATCAATAGATGCGTATTTCTCGAATTCGAAAGCCTTCAGTCAAGTTTTTTAAAAAATCATTATTTCCTAAAAACAGGCCCATCCTGACCGAGAAAAAAAACTTCAAAATTTCGACAAGCCATCGATAGATTCGGATTCCTTGACCCAGAAAATCGTTAGATTTGATTTTTTCGGCCAGGAAGGCCTATTTTCCAAAAAAAAGAATTTCTTTTATGAAACTTGACTAAAGGTTTTCGGGGCCGAGAAATCCGAATCTATTGATGATTTGTCGAAATTTTCGAGTATGACTGTTTCGGCAAACCATCTACAGATTCGGAGTCCTAGACCCCAAAAACCTTTAGTCAAGTTTTATTAAAAATCATTATTTTCTAAAAAAAAACGCCCTTTCCTGATCGGAAGACTCAGATAATGTGAAGGAAAGGTATCAACTCGTCACCTAGCATTACGAAAGCCCTATAAAAAGTAAGACTTTCGTAACACGGTAAAAAGACATGAGCTACAAGAAACAGGGCTTTCGTAACACTTTTTACCGGGCTCTCGTAACACTTTCAACGGGGCTTTCGTGACTGCTTGTCTAGTTACTTTTTACGATGAATTAGCTGATGAATAATGTATTCCAACAAGACTTTCGTAACGATGTGTGTATTAGAAAAGGTAGTGCATATTACAGAGCAAAATGAGACAACAACAATCAAATAGAACAAAGAAAGAAGAACATGGTGCCTATCATCAAGCACGAAAGAGAGAGAGAGAGAGAGCGCGACACGAGTAACAAAACAAAGAAGAAAGAAATACAGAAAGAGATTTTTTAGTTTTCAATTTTCTCAATTTAACAACAAATTTCAAAGAAGAGTAAACAAAAACCAACAAAAATAAACACAAAACTATCTTTTTTTAGGGTGTGGGTGTGGGTGGGTGTAGGTGTGAGTATGGATGGGGTTGGTGTGGGTACGGGTGAATCTAAGGCTCACACCCACAACCATACCCATACACCACACCCACCCACCCACCCACACCCTCAATCTCTAAAAGACGCACAACATATAATGGATCATACTTTGATACTTGAATTACCTTATGCACTATCCGAATGTGGTGATGAAAATGAAAAAGTTAATGTTAAATCACAATTGTTCGAACAATTACCCGGCATACTTATAATCCGTCATGGTTATGATTGTTATAAGATGCGTTCATGGTTAATTAACAACATGACAATTTTAGAAGAATTAAAAAAATGGATGATGCGTGTACAAGTGATAGAATTGCATGGTGATGATCAGCAGGAAAAAAGCTAATTCTTATTAATTGTCGAAAACTTCATAAATAAAAATTCTGAATTCTTTCCTGTGAACGAAAAACGGCAGACGTAGAAGCAGTAAGGGTGTGAGTGTGGGTGAAAAGAAGACACCCACACCCACACACCCACACCCACCACACTCCCACACCCACACCCTCAGAGAGATTCCATTGGAAACCTTCACTGTCTGTCACTTAGACTCACATGCATTCGATAACAATTATTTCTGCAGTAATGTTTCGAATAAATCAAGTAGCATTTCTCTCAAAAAATCTCTGAAGGAAAGATTTGTAAATTTGGAAGAAGTTCATAATCACTCATCGTCTACTTTCATCTTAAACTTCAGCAAATTCAACTGCTTATCTTATTATCATTATAATAATCTTTCATTTTTCAAATAAACAAGCAAATAAAAACTTTGGATCTTAAACATGATATCTAAGTTCAATAGGTTTCATATCATGCAGATTTATATATAATTTCACTATACTAAAGTTCTGCTTCGTAAACTATTTTAATTATTTTTTGACTCATAATTGTGGCGTACGAACCAATCGAAGCTCAGATGTCGACATCTCTTCGAGATTAGATCTTGTTAACTCTTTGGGGACGGATTTTTTTTTCTGTACATTTCATCATAAATCAATCAACATTTCTATTTTCTAAAGGAACCTATTATCCATTACTGGATATCTGAATAAAATAACCTAATTACAATCCAAATTATACCAAAAAACTCTCTGATAAATGCTTTCATAAAAACTAATCTCATATAGGAATCTGTGTGTTTTGAAATGCTAGAGAATCATCATGGCCCCTGAAGGGGCCAACCGTCCTCAAAGGGTTAAAGAGTATAGCATCAACTTGTTTCAGAGCCTATAGTTATCTACTGAGATAACAACATCGAGAACTAACAGTCAAGATGTTTGCAGAGTTCGTTGGAGATTGCTAACATCAATATCAATAGTAACATGACAACAACAAATAAAAAATAACTATAAAGCTAGTATCACATATAGACAATCAGAAATTGCATCATTAATAGTAGAAATTTTATGAATAATGGTAAAATGGAATACTTATACCTATGCATGCATATATGTGCGAAAATCGACTACGTTAGAATTACAACAGCAACGAAATGCAACGAAAGATTTCTTAGATATATGGACTTTGCTCTTCATATTAAATCTGATTTTTTTTCTTCTTCCTTCTTCAGACATCACGTGTTTCAAGATAAATATAAAACTAAACGAAACACGAGTAACGTATCGAACGTATTACATGTTGGTTGAAAATTTTATCGTTTTTGACGTCTATAATGTAATAACTACTAGTGCTTTTTGATAAAATAATTATTAGTGTCATGTGTTTGATACAATGGTATCTAACGACATGTTTTGATGAACAACAAATATGACAAAGGAAAAGCGTTGAGGGCAATGAAGTTTGGACCCTTTCGAAGCTTATCAATGAATCACAAAATGCACAAACATATATATCTAAAGCAACCACATTCTTTATGCAATATCATTTCAATCATCCTGCTCGCACTACCAAAGCCTTCTTCAATACTTTTCACCGAATACTCAGACTACAGTAAGTGAATCATTAATACAGCATCTAGTTCAGAAACTGAATGTCTGAGTACTCACATTGCCACTTGTCATTCTAAACCTAAATAAGTGAAAGTGATGTAGGGTAAAAGAGGATTGTGAAATATTTGTTTTCATGCTTTACATCATACATGCAGATCTAATAAATATAGGATATTAGCGAAATACTCTAGCAGTAATACTATTCATTTTATTCAAGAGCAAAGACATGAAAATCATGTTATACTATGATTCTTAAGATTTGAAATTGAAGGAAGAAAACTTACCGATTATTTGATAATTGCCTTGTCACTATTAAGTTAACTATTCAAGTTCTCACAGAAGAAATTATATACGCCTGCATTTTTTTCGATTGCTTGACAAAATTTGTTTTTTGTTTTCAAAGTAATGGATCCTTTCACAATTCATGGAACGTCAACTACACTAAATCAACGTCAAACTACACCTGCTGCACGACGAATTCGCTCAAACGCTAGACAACGTGTAATTTCTCCAAAAGTACCAATATATAGAGCTAGTCAAAATACGAAAATAGAAACGTCCGAAAAGGCCCAATCTTCGAAACTATCACTTAAAAAAATGATGACTTTGCCAGTATTAACAGAACTTTTAGAAGTATGGAAAGATCCTGACTCCTTCGCTCAAGTTGACAAGGCCAAGGAAAAAATTACGGATTGTTTTAACCAACGCTTAGATACCTTGGATTTATCGTTTCTCGGTTTGACCAGTCTTCCTGATGTTTTCGGTGGAATGCAAAATATACATTATTTGTCGATTGCTAACAATTATTTTTCCGAAATGCCATTGTGTCTAACTAAGTTAACTTCGCTAAAACGATTGAACATCTCCAATAACATATTGAATGAAGTACCCGATTTAATCAAAGAATTCAAATACTTGGAATGTTTTAATAGTGAATGTAATCAACTTCAAAAGATTTCAGAAGAATTGGGACGTTTGCCAAGATTGAAAACTCTAATGTTGGCTCATAATCGTATTATGAATATGCCTCAAAATATTCGTCATATTAAAGATTTGCAGATAGAAGATCAAGTTCCACTAGCATCTTTTGGTGACTTTTCTCCTGAGTTTGAAGCACAATGGGAAGAAAATTTTAGTAAGGAAGCATATTCAGGTTATTTTGAAATATGGTTAGCACGCTATGAAGAAATACTACGATTGCCAGAAGCCAAAAAGTACCGTCAAGTATTTAAACAACGTATAGGTGCATTGATGGAGGCAATGGTGAACGATTCAAATTTTCGTAAATTCTGTTATGAAAAAGCATATAATGTCGTTTCAACGTCTCATGACGGAATATTATTTGCTCTGTACGAATTGGAAGCCAAACTTGTTGAACAGCTCATAATTGAACTAAAATTATCTGATAAAGAAGTTCGTCAAGAAGTCGAACGAGCCTTTAATTTTTACCGTTTACAAGAGCTCGCTCAATTACATGGACAACAGTTTTCCCTTCAAAACGATGCAACTCCAGACGAAGAAGTAGTCGATGGACAAGAATCAATTTTGTTTTTTTATATTTCTCCTGGAAATACTCTGGAAATGCCATCAGGCAAGGAAATACCACGTCATATGTATCAATCAAATTTGGGTATAGCAACTGACGATGATGTAAGAAGAGCAGTCGAAAGAATTCGACAGGAAAAGAAAGAACATGGTCCAAATTATTTGATTCACTTTATTTTGGATAAAGAACATTGGATTGAATATTTATCACGGCGTTATTCCGATTTTATAACGGAACATACACAAGTTTTTGTGGACCAGATGGAAGAAATAGAAGCAAAAAAGGATCAAGTTAATGAATATGATTATCTCATACGGATGAATGCATTGCTTGAAGAAAAGAACGAATCGGAACAAAGATTGTATTACCAATTAACTAAAAATATTGTTATAGATTCATAGAGATTGCAAAGCAATAGACACAAACACAGATCGATTTATCTCTTCATGGAAAAGATAGATTCGATTGATCAATCTCAAATTTTACTTTTCAAAAATTCACTTAGTCAAAACTAAGTAAAATCATAGATTAATATGTATTTTTTGATTTTCTATTTACTATAAATAAAACAAAAACTAGTATACATGAGAAGTTCAAAATCACATTACAAAAATCCGAAACAGAAGTTACATTTTTTATGTGAATAATAGACGAAAGTAGGAGCAAATGAATCAAACAAATCATTTATATGAAGATGAATATTGAAATCATGTTAATCATAATTTGATTTTTATTGAAGACAATTAAGATACTAATGATTCCAATAAAATATACAAGACTATGTATGAGTTAATATTTGTGCGTTTTAGAAAATTTATTCTACTTTCACCGAATGAATTTATAACAGAATATTATCATATGAATTATAATACATAGAGTGCGTGCCAGAAAACGCATGTCACTCGCCGAAAACCTTCACCATCACTCACAAGAGATTTTGTTATAAACCTATTCGGCGAGTTCGACATTTGCGATTACGACTGGGTTCAAAAACGACACTTACGCATTCTTCTTGTTTCACTGATAAGATGATAAATATTTACCATTACATGCAACTCACAGATTTTCCATTTTGTGACTTATAATTAACGATAACATTTATGAGACAACTATAAAATATTCAGAATATGAGTGATATTAACGAGATGAAAAGTCATATGACTATAATTGATAAGAATTTGACAGTTTATTCTCAGTTATCTCACCTGTAAAAATTGATATAGTAACTCAA